CTCAATTTTATCCCTGCAAGACATATTTGTGGCCTTCCCTACCATCACGAGATGGAGAGAGACCTGAGAGTCCCTTGTCATGGTGAAGTGCTGCACAAAAATCAATCACCTCGGCTCTCCTCTCACCGCCTGGGGGCCAAGAAAGGGCATCTGTTGATTCATTATTTTGCCTCTAGAAATCTGTTGGTTTACTACACAAGGAGATAAAGTGTCTTGCTGGAATTCTAAGCAGTTTTGTAAATAAAAAGATCATTGCCAACCCATCGTCTGTACTACAGGTCTCTGCCCCATGTTGTCCTTACGTTGATCTGCTGATCATTGTGCTGGCTGGTAGCTGGGGCAAGCATGCTTTCTGTGGCAGTGGAAAAAAACACAGTTAACTGGCCCATGAAGGGATCAAATTCTGAACCACAAACTCACTACCACAATTTAAAAGCTGACTGAATTAGATAGACGTCTGGAACACATGCTTCATTTCTATGGAATATGCAAAGATCTTTCTCCATCTGAATGTCTAATTAGATTTTGTTAACCACATTACCAGAATACCTATTGGAATTTTTTTTTTTTATTTTAGGGTGAAGGAAAAAAACACAGTTATCTACAAGAAAACACAAAACTCCATCTCTGTGAAACCCAAATCTATCCTCCTGAAATCTGTCACTTTCTAATCCTCCTTTGATGTGAGTTGCATGTAGGGAGATAGTTTAGCACATTAACATCACAATTTTTGCAATCAGACACCTTGACTGCTGTTTTCTCGCCTTGTGATCTTAGGCCTGTTAAATCACGTCCTCTGTGTATCAGTTTCCTCCTCTGTAAAATGTGTGTAATAATACCTACCTGAGAGTGCTGCTGTGAGGATCAAATGAGATAATATATATCAGGAGCTTAGCACAATGTCTAGCACATAGGTGCTCATCAAACTGAAGCTTGCATTATTATTCACATTGTGTTCACTGATGGAGACGTATAGGAGTCAATTGATTAATTTCCATTTTCTAGCACTAATATTTCTTCTGGCCTTCTGGCAACACTGCCTTCCTAGACATGCTCTTTATATTCTAAACTGTGGGGAAAAAAATTCCACATGATTCAAATTATTTCATGCCATTAAAGCACTTATGTTCTAAGTGATGGGCAATCAAATCTCACGCTTCAAAGACTAAGTTGATCATTAAAAAGCCTCCATTCTTTCTAAATGTGGGTGCTCCGTAGCAGATGGTACTATCTGTGATAGTGTCCTTCCCACAATGAGCAAGGATGGCTTAATAGTGTCTTAACCTTTGCAAATTTTCACATCAGTTAAGAATGTGTGCTCAGAAGTCAATTTATGTAGTTTACAATTCCAGCTCCTTTGGTTACTTGTTTTCTAACCTCGTGTAAGTTATTAAATCTCTTATTCTCAGCTTCTCCCATGGTAAAATGGAAGTAGGAACAGTAGTTACCTCAACACGTTGTTGTGAGTTTTCAATGAAATAATGAGATGATACACACAAAGCTTTTAGCCATGCCTGGAACCGTAGTTTTACTACTAATTTTAGTATCAGTTATAGTATTATTTATACCTAAGTCTATTTATTCATGTCCTATTCACAGCATAAAAGACTACTGGAAACTGATATTTTACATTAAGAAAAGTAATAACCCCATTGTCATTTCTAAGCAAACTCTAGCATAACCCTCATTACAAACTTAGAATGTCACTACAAAGTTTAAAGAAAACAGTAAAGCTCTGCTTATCAAATTTGGCATTCCATCCTGATATCCTGACCTTTTAAATTATTTTTTTTTAATTTGCATACATTAAGAAGTGAATCTTGGGCTTTAAATGTCCATGAATGTTGAGAAATGCCTAGTATCATATGTCCACTATTTCAACACTTACAAAATAGTTTCACCTCCTCCCAAAAATCCCCTGTGCTTCATCTATTCAATCTACCCCCACTCCCCTAGTACTCACTGTTTATTTTATTTTTTTACTGTTTCTTTAGTTTTGCCTTTTCCAAAATGTCACGTAATTAAATCATACAGTCAGTAGCCTTTTCAGACTAGCTTTCTTCACATAGAAATACCCATTTAGGATTCATCCATTTCTTTTCATGGCCTGTTAGCTCATTTCTTTTTATCACTGAATAATAATATCCCTTTGTGTAGATATTTCATAGTTTGTTTATTCATTCACCTATTGAAAGGCATCTTAGTTGCTTTGTTTCTTCCAGATTATGAATAAAGCTGCTGAAAACATCCACATGCAAGATTCCCAGTATGGTGATGACTAAAGACAGGGAGAATGGACATCCTTGCTTTGATCCTGGCCTTGATTCTGGTCACTCTGCTTATATTATGCATCTGTTCTTGTATGTTGCCTACTTTTTCCATTAGAATCCTTAATATATTAATCATAGTTTAAATTCCCAATCTCATAATTCCAACCTCTTTGTCATATTTGAGTTTGGTTCTGATGTTTGCTTTGTCTCTCAGACTGTATTTTTTCTTGCCTTTTTAGCATGCCTTGTAATTTGTTTGTTGGAAGCTGGACATGTATGGGATACTGGGAACTGGAGTAAATAGGTCTTTAGTGTGAGGATTTATGTTATTATGGCTAGAAGTCTGGATGTGTTTTTTGTTTGTTTTAGTCATATGTGCCAGAAGCATCAAATTCTTCTAGTGTCCTGGGATTTTTTTGTCTTTTTAAAAATTTAATTCATGTACATGTCCTATTATGTTTTACTTTTAACAATGACTGTTTGCTAAGGGACCATATACACCTGACAATTTCGCTCCAATATCTCTCTTTTTTTTTAAATTGACATAATATTTTGATTTGATCATTGTACATTGTATACATGTATCCAGATATCACATTGTAGTGTTCTGGTTTTTATTTTCCCTCTCTCCTTGTGACTTTGGCTTCCCTAGAATTCTTTGTCTCAGAGAGAATCTGTGTAAGAGATTCACCGCAAGATTCATCTCAAGTTAAAGCTATGATTTAATTTTCAATCTATTCTCATGACTTTTTAGGAACCTGGATAAAGAAAGGTGATCTAGAGACCGAAGTCCATAAATTAGAAGGAATTCAATCAACGGGACCACCTGGTTCTTAAAACTAAAATCCTTATCTTCTTTTTCTCAATATTGAACTATAGAAAGAAGATTAACTCTAATTATTCATATTTTCATCCCTAAAACTTTTTAAAAACTGCTACTAGGATCAGGAGTAAAGAAAGGATGGTACAGAAATATACAATGGCAGAATTATTTCAAACTGCACCTGGCAATGAACAATAGAGAGATAAGATCTTCTGAAGCTTATAACTTTCTTTAAGTAGGGTGTTGCAAATCCATTCTCTGATTAGTAACATGACAGATGGCAACAGGAGTTTATGAGGCATTGTTTAGCAAGACACAGTGACCTGGGGTCAGACCCCTTCATTCATGTGCCCATTCACTCATCAAATATTTGCCTAATGCTTTCTATTGGCCAGGCCTTGTGGGAGGTGGTGTTACTAACTCATCCTGTAACAATGTGCACGTCCTTTTATCTTTTTGAGTTTTAGTTTCTTTAACAGCAAAACAAAAGGAATGCTGTATGCTATCTGCCCACAGTCCTCATGTGAGGCTCAAATGAGATAATGACTGTGGATGTATTTTGAAAGTACACAACAACATAGAATTTTATTTATAAAATGTGTATATGTATTGTGTTTGTATATAAAAGGGGATCTTTGAGCTATATTTCAGAAGCAGAACAGGGATTGTAATTTTTCATTAGTTTTTACTTATTTGACTTCTTTCCACAGTACCCCCTTCCAAGCCTTCTCACATTAGCTTTCCTCATAGGAAAAAAACTCAGTTTTCCTGGTTCTATTTTGTGATCCATCTTCCTAGAGCTCTTGCCTTGATTTTACAAAAGTAAAGAATTTCTTACTAGTGTCTAACATTTTAGGTAGGCAAAATTTACTGTCATTTTGTAGTGCAGATGGAAAAGTTGAGAAAGTGGCTGAGTGAGTCAGGAGCAGGGCTTGGAAGACGTGACAATTCACTTCACGTCCTGTGGCCACCTTCCTGTAAAAAGCACAGACCTTTAGGTCTGCAATTAAGAACAGCAAAATCAGATCTTAGACCATACTCTCCCCACTTATCAGAGCTCTTCGTGGAGCTACTGAGTCTCCTCCCCATGGCATTATTCTTGGCTTACTGCAGGGGCATTACACAGAAAGGGTGATGTATCTGTATCTACTTTCTTCACATGGAAAGAACTCTCCAGCCAGAATTCTGAGCCTAATTTCCATCCATTATGTTTACTGGAACAATATGCTGTGCTGTCCAGAGTAGATAAAAACCCGAGAATCCCTCCACATAATACTCATGGAATGACTAAGAAATAAATTAAGCTCTAAGCACAGCAAATGAATAGCTGCAAGGGGCATTGGTTTATTATAATGTTCCAACTCTCTCTTTCCTCCAGAACCCTGGTCATTATGCACAGCAAGTTTCCTCAGCAGAAGCTGCATGGAGCATGGCACAGTGTATCTAAGGGTTGCACAGTGTACCTAAGCTTTGAAAAAGCTTTGCCTGACCTCCTGAAGCCTATTAACACAGGGTACTGTCTTTTCATTACATGGCACAGTGTATCTAAGGTTTGAAAAAGCTTTGCCTGACCTCCTGAAGCCTATTAACACAGGGTACTGTCTTTTCATTACTACTTCCTCTATTGCACTAGAATCCCAGGATGGCACATTTTTAAATGTCATTAAAAAGTTAACAGCACCAGACTCACAGGGACAAAAAGACAGAAATTTGAAGAAAGGAAGATTATATGAAAAAATGAGCCCTTCTTGGAAACACAATAAATACTTTGCCATTTAATTTTTATCCCAGAGAGCTCTCTGATCAAGCCTTCCACCCTGTGACACCTGCATCACCGAACAGAGCCACCATGACCAAGTCCCTCCCCAGATGTATTCCCTGGACTTTGGACTTCGCAGCATCTGAAACTATGTTGCAGAATCAATCAGCACCCCCTGGTTGTTCTTCGTTACCATCACAATGTCCTCCATAGTACTCTCCTCTATCGTCTTGGTCACGATGTCCGCATCTTTGCCGTGCCGTGCAGCCACTGACTTTGCAGTAAGATTTGTTTTGATGTTTCTCAAGAAAGATCCAATCGTGCTGCTCCTCTTGCTTGTAGAACCTGAACTAGTCATGGATAAACTCCTCCCTGATGCCGTGCAGCCACTGACTTTGCAGTAAGATTTGTTTTGATGTTTCTCAAGAAAGCTCCAATCGTGCTGCTCCTCTTGCTTGTAGAACCTGAACTAGTCATGGATAAACTCCTCCCTGAATTGTGAGAGATCCTTAACTCCTTGGAGAGGCGTTTCTGGCTGACACCTTTGGGGGAGCCGCACCTGCCACTCCCTGGGCTGCTGCAGCCTTTTTCCTTTCTATCATCTCTAGTGGCTCTGTGGCTGGATGAGGACTGGCTGGATGATTTGGGGGCCATCTTGTTCCCTTCTGCCTTGCGGCGACGTTCACCTGCCCTGCGATGATGGGAGCCCTTACCAACATCTCTGTTCTTTTCCTTTTTATCCCTTCTTTCCTTACGGGCGTCAGTGCTGGCCTGGGACACTCGCTGCTTTCTAGCCTGTCCACTCATGTGGCTTTCCTTCGGCAAGGCCGACACAAGAGGGTCCGCTGCTGGATCTTTGCCTCTCTCTCTGACAGTCTTGGGGGAAGATTCTGCTTCTGCAAACATCACATTCACGTCTTCTGGGGAGAGGCTGGAGGACAGTCTACTAATGCTCTCTGAGGACTTGCTTGCAGCACCTGCCACGGCTACCTTAATACCCTTCGGGGATGTGTTGGCAGTGCCTGCAATGGCCATGTTTGTTTTCGTTTGTCCTGTGCCCCTGGCCGCTCCTGCTAGGGCTGCGCTTACCTGTCCAGTGCCTGCAGACTTGGATGCCGACAGGCTGAAAGCGCCTGCTATGGTGCTTGTTGCCGCCCCTGCTATGACTGCCTCAGCTGTTGCCTCTGTTGCCGACTCTTTGGCAAGCTCTGTAGATTTTGCTTTGGCAGTGGATACACTGGGCATGGTAGTAGGTTTGTGGGAGTCATCTAGGATTCCTTTACCCCCAGCATAAGCAGCAGAGGTGGCCCCAGTCACCTCAGAGACCGTGAGGAGGCTCCTGATGCTGACCTGGTCTTGGTCCCCTGGAACTTGGAATTCGGCAGCTGCCAAGCTCGTCCTGTCTTCCTCAACGGCAGGCATGCATATCATGTCCTCAGCTGGAACAGCATAGGTACCGCTGTTACTGTCCACAGGTGGTCGCAGGAGATAAATTATTTTCTCCCAGTATATAAAGAGGTCTTCCTGTGCTTTGAGAGGACACAGCTGCAGGTAGCAAGAACGGCCAGTGACAAACTTCAGACGCAGCTGTTGATTCTCACGATGATGAACAGAAATTTTTACAAACTTCAAGGGAAAGAGCCTGGTGAGCTCTAAGGTCTTTGCCACCTTGCGGTTTCTCCCCTTGGTGGCCTTGCCACGTCCAGCATGCTCTTCATAACGGGCGACTGGACGGGCCAGCAACATGATGTCAGGAATGGGGAAGATGGGGCTGGTGCACACGATGGCGACGGTCACCATTTGGATATGGTTGTGCACATCGATCACTTCCCCCTTTTTGGTGATCTGCATAAAGTCGCTCTCAAACATGGGTGCGTACTTGAACATATCGTAATCTCCCTTGAGCAGCTGTCGCTGCAGTTTGCCCATTCTGGTATTGAACATGTTCGTTCTGGAGCTACTCTGGGCTGTGTAATACGGCAACAGCGAGACGCTGTTCATGGCTGTCTTTGATCACGGTGGCAGCGCTGGAGAGGAGGGTCCCTGAGTCTTCCTCGGCCTTGGTGGCAGATGAAGAACAGCAGTGTTGCTGGTCACCAGGTGACTTGTACAGCAGATCTCTTGACCCCACCCCATTCCATAGGATCCCCTCTTGCCTCAAAGCCTCCCAGAGGCCATGTTGCGGGTGGGAGCACAGATGGTGGCTCTAGAGATGCTGTCAGGTGCTTGGGCCTCAGACTGAATCTCTTCCCAGATGTAGAAATGCAGGGTGAGTTCCAGAGAGATTTTTCTTCTGGGTCTAATCTGCACCTCTGATTTTTTAATCTCCCTAAAAGTCCAAGCTGTATTCCAGCAACTGAACTGAGCACCCTCTGGGCCTAAGACCCTGCACAGCCATATTTATACTCAGCTGTCCTTTGTGACCTGTCTCTGTCACATACTCCTTTGTTGTCTCATCCCTCCCTCTGCCCCCTCAGGGCAGGGCCACCCCACTGCCCCCACAGAGCACAGGTCCACCCTGCCCATTCAGGTGGGTGCCAACATAAAATTTTTTTCAAGTGGGAAAACTTTGTGTGGATGCTTTCCTCACACTGAATTTAAAAGATTCAGCAACTAGACAGTCCATAGGAATCCAAGATGATGGGATATATTTGAGCCATTTGAGTTCATGGTTTAATTTTATAGAATGACCTAGAATTGGCAGTCCTGATACATAGCTCTTCCTTCCATTAAATCTCAGTAAATGTTGACGATGATGATCTTTCATAGTAACCTTCACCTTTAATAATAACGTTAAAGATTGCTTCTGCTAGGTGCTGCACGTACTCTTCACATACTGTCGTTTGGTATTATTGCTACTGTCCCCACTTTACAGGTAAAGAAATTGACGTGTGTCACTTGCCTACACTCAGAACTCACAGGTTGGAGGCATTATGTGAATCCAGGGCTAGCTGAGTCTGAAGGTTTTGTTCTGAACCATTCCAGTAAAGAAAGCTTGGGCCAGCCCACGTTTTCAAGCTGAACTGATTTAACTGCCTTCAAGATGACCAATTTGGTGCATTATGGGAAGTTGCATAATTAATCACCTGTGTGTGTGTGTGTGTGTGTATGTGTGCACGCGCTTGCGCGCTTTAGAGAACCCAGGACAACCACTTCAGACAATGACTGGGCTGAGCTGGAGATTAAACTATCCAGAGTCTGCCTTGGTTCCTCTCCTGCATCACGCTTTTACAAACACCCTGTGTGTGGGAGCCCAGCCATCCTCTTAAAGCCCCCAGTTTTTGCTCCCCACCCCCTGCCCAGTGGAAAGCTGGTGGCAGGGTGGGGAGGGAGGGACAGGAGGGCAGGACTGGAGGTGCAGGCTTAAATTCCAGGAGCCTATCAAACACCTGCCTGTACTGACCTTGGTACCACATATAGGTGGCTGAGAAGTCACTTGCACCTAGTGGTTGAGAAGTCACTTGCACCTATGGGGAGCACGTGCCACTGTGCCTTGTGCCTTTTTGCCATTCCCAGGGAGCTAGTTACAAAACAAGGGATTTCCCAATGGTGCTTGAAAGTTCTGAGAAGGACCCCCTACTCCCAATTCTCTTTTCTCCCAGTTGGATGTTATGCCTGGAATCCCACCTTAGAGATTCATCCCTTGAGGATAAAGGCTATCTCTCTCTAAAAATACACACCATCCATGGATGGATCGATGGCCACAATGTACAGTACCCATATTATTTAGCTATAGAAAGGAATAAAGTACTATCACATGCTGTCACATGGCTGAAGCTTGAAGACATTATGCTAAATGAAAGAAGCCAGACACAAAAGACCATACATCACATGATTCCATTTATATGAAACATCTGGAATAGGCAACTCCATAGAGACAGAAAGCAGATCAGTGGTTTCCTGCGGCTGGAGAGATGAGTGAATGAGAAGTGAGTGCTTAATGGGCACAGGATTCCCTTTTCTTGTAGAAAATAAGAACATAGAAAAAAGTCCTAGATAGTGGTGGTTACACAGCCATGTGAATGTACTTAACGTCACTGAATGGTTGCACTGGTAAATTTTATGGTACACTTTAAAATGGTTGCAATGGTAAATTTTATGTTATATATATTTTACCTCAGAGACACACACACACAGAAAAAAAACATATATACATACTCTTGTTCAAAACCATTGCAGTTAAAAACACAGGCTTCAGCTTTAGAAAGAGCAACTGTGTGACCTGGACCAAGTTACTGAACTCTCCACTTACTCATCTGTAGAATGGGCAAACAGCTGTCATGAGGATTAAATGGGATCAGGCGTGTAAAAGTGTTTAGCGTAACCGCCCTACTCAATAAATGGTGGCTATTATTAGCATTAAATTAAAAAATAAAAATAATAAATAATTTTTATCCCATAGAATAGAAAATAAGAACCCTCTATAATAAAGTCATTGGACCAACAGTTGTACATTTATATAATGAGCTGTGTAAAATAATCTCAGGAAGAATAAAGAATAAAACTAAGTGACAGAGATAAATTTTATTTTTAGAAAACATGAAGAGAGGCCTGGAAATATCCTTCCCTTGATTTGTATTCATTCTTTATATTATCTATTGAAGCTTATAGAAAAACAGACTGAGAGATTCTAGTTTCAACTTTGTTTTTGTTAGTGTTGGGATTGAACATTCTTTGCTGTTGAGCTAAATCTCTTTATACTGTAATAAAATAAGTACTAATTTGGGGAAGAACTAATGACATTGGATGATGTCAAAAATAGTAGACTATTGTGGCAAAATAAACACCAACCCATAAGGTAATTAGTAAAATAACTATTGATAACATGAATTAACATCTGGTGATTTTTTTCTAGAGAGAACATTAAAGAGGAAAAGAAGTATATCATCCTTTGAAGATAAAATAATACCTTAAAGATGAGGAGTTTAAAATAATACCCTTAAAAATGACAACTTTGGGCTATTTTAAAAGTATATAAAAGCCTCTCAGTGTGCCCACACTATCTCTGTGAGATCAATAGAAATGGAACTTTTCTGTACATTTTGGAAAAATAAAAACTGAAACCAAACCAAGAATCAGGGCTTCTATAGAGATTAAAATCTAGCTCATCTGATTATCAGGCTAAAGCTTTTTCCAAGATGTTATTGTCCTTATTAAAAACAAACACACGCAGACAACACACACACATATCACAAAAAGAACCTCTGTTTTGATATGATAATTCACATTCACTTACAGATGCACAATTGCCAGTTTGGACTGAAAAGATGTAAGTAAGATTTCTGATAAGACCAGGAGTTACAAAATAACAGCAACAACAAAACTAACCATGTTGGGGTGTTTAGTGGAATGAACATTTTATGTGAATTAGTTGATTTTCAGAAGATCCCCATAAGGTACTACGATGATTTCCTTTGCACTGATGAGAAAAGTGATACACTAAGAAGTTGAATAGCACTTCAAAGCCATAAGTAGTAAGTGGCTGAGCTGGGATTTTGTGCTTTTTTAGTATTGCTCCAGAATCTGCTCTCCCAAACCCCACTCTGCACTGCCTGGGTCAGGCCTGAGCTATCCACTTGGGCATTTTGAATGCTTCTGGAATACATTTTTGTGTTAAAATGAGCCTCCTGGCATGGGTTTTGTCCTTAGAAGGGGTAATGTGTTTCTAGAGAACATTCACCTACATGAAAGTGTGATACAAAGGTTTTTGCAATGCAGTTTTGTTTTGGCTACGGGTCAGTTATCTTGCACTTCATTCATTTAGAAATTGTATATTTGCCTATAGAAGCACTTTTAACTGGATGGAGCACACAGAATGAAAGCACACCGTTAGAGTTGAGGATTTAATTAAGGATGCTCAATTAACATGCTGCTACAGGCAAGAGCTACTCAGGATGGAGTTCACCCCCTCAAGCATGGGAGCTGGCCTCCAGCACTAGCTGCTATTAAAATCTCCGATCCACAGAAAAGGCCAGTAGTGTGACTCCAGCCAGCTGTAAATTTTTTGGATAAATCTTCCTTGAAGCAAATAACACCAATACAATTTAAGAAACGGTAACACAGAGAGAAAAATGATGGATCTATGTTTCTTTCCCAAGTTGCTAAAGCAACCATCCCAAAGGTCCCAAGATGAATATTTTCAAGACCAATGCTTTTGAATTTTGGTGGAAAGGGAGCTATCAGAAAGCAATGTTCTCACATCCCTCAAGATACTTACCAGCACCCTGGCATCATGAGTATTTACTCTGCCTCGAGGGAGGTTATCCTTACAGAAAAGGTATAGCTCACCTTCCTAAAGGGTTTTGACAAGTTTCACCTTATGCCCCAATAATGAGGGTCCTGATGCTAAAAAATATGAAATGTTTTTGGTTCAGTATAAAAAATAATCAAAGATTAAAAAGAGCTTTCTGTGGAAATTTATCAATTTTATCCTCAAATTTACTTATGCATCCGGTTGGCAAATGTTTACTGAGCACCTACCGTATACCTTTCACCTGTAATTCTCCTCACGTTTATTATAAGCATCAGAGCTACACAGTCCCACAAGCATGCCTGGTCTCACTCAAGCTTTGGAACTAGCATGACCATCGATGATGGAACATCTCTAGAGGTCTGGTCTGGCCTTGAAATTCACCATCTGTGAGGTTTCAGCCACACAGCTGAAGATGGACGGATAAAATATAATAAGGTAAGGCAACTATGGAGAGGATGGGGACAGAGCTAGCTGGGTGCTTTAGAAGTGGTGTAGACACTGGACAGGAGATGGGTCCAGTTACCAGCAATAAATGGTTCAGTGAGATAAACACAATAAGGCATGATGCAAATCGATCTGCAAAGACATGTCTGAAGACATGGAAACTTATTTTAGTTTCCAGGTCCAAGTTCTTGGACTTGACTCAAAAGAATGATTCTATTTTCAGTTCAGGGGCTATCTCAAGCTGGGCAATGCCCTAAGGGGTGAGAGGTCTGCACAGTTATTGGTGGTCTGGCATTTGACATTT